AAGCTCTGGAAATTTTCCGGAACGGACGCGGCAAGCAATTCAGCATATATCGCGAAAGAGTTTTCGATGATGTTGCAAAGAAGTGGCTTTTGATCTATAGAGTCACAAAGGATTGCGGAAATGTCGCATACAAAGACTTCTTCGAAAAGGTTGCCGTTCCCGAGGTGAGGGAGAGGAACGAGATTTTTGGATTCTCCCGTGCATCTGCCGAGAAAACTGGAGATATCATCGAGTTCTGGCTTGGTGTCTTGGACGTGGCCAATATGGCCAAGGGAGTTGTGGATGTTTTCAATGCTAGCGTTGATCCAGCTGAGTATCTCAATGGACTGGAAAAGGCACTGGCTCAATTCACATCGACCTCCCGAACCTCGAGCACCATCAATGACAAGAGACGGGGATCCTTCGACTGCACACTGCAAACTGCAGAAGCCGAAAGGGTCATGAAGCTCATCCACGCAATCCCCGGATATGACTCGCTGGCCAATTTCTGCTGCCTCACGGACTGGGAGAAGGATCAGGTATTCTCTCATTATCGCAGGAAGAACAACATCACAGGGGGTGACGCCAGCATGGGCACTGATGCCGATGCCAAGCCAGGTGACGAGTCGTCGGCTCACCCTGGGGAGGAGGAAGCTGATGAGCCAGCGAACGACCCCACCGATGTGGTCAGGGACTCAGAGAATTCCGGGAAACAACAACTTTTGGATGCGTTGGGAAAACTCTTTACCGTCTCTGAGGATGTCAACGTGTGCTTGTATTGTGGTAGCACCCAACATGGCCATCTTGAATGTGAACATGAGAAGAGGGATGAAGTCAGAAAGGCGCTAAAGGCTGTCCGAGCGTCGCTCGAGGCTGATAGTCCAACATCTGATGACGTAGATATGGAGCCTCCTGAGCACAAGAAGGACGGTTCAGGTGCTACTGATGGGTCGGGGCAAACGGATGAACCTACAAAATCGAGGTTTAGTGAACACCAATGGTACGACAGCATCAGAACTATGTCTGAAGTTGGTGACCTCGATGAGTATGGTAGATTCTGCATAGAAGGACGTGATGTTACAAAGCTAGGACCACAGAACATTGTTGACCTCAACGAAGTGGTCAGAGACGCTATTGTCAGAGGAGGAGGTGACTCTTGGTCAGTGCCAGACTTCATGGCAAGCTACTCTGATAACAACATCAGGAAGCCCTTCTACAAGAGAGTCGAGGCGCCGCAAGATGGTTTCTTGAAAATCATCCCGACTACGGGGGCCCATTTCTTCAACTGCTCTTACTTTGGAGGTGTAGAATATGCGGCCAACTACCGCTTCGAGACTGGCAACCGGCTCAATACCTACGAGGACAAGGTGAGTTCATCACTAAACAGGATCCTGCGGCACAACGTGGGGAAGGTATCAGAACAACAGAGTCTGTCATGTGATGACGCCGGCTGGGTGCCCATCGAGGAGGTGCTCAAATGTGAGTCCATCTGGAGGCACGAGTACGCACGCTGGCCACATGTATTCCTTGCTCCAAAAGGAAGAGCAAATGATCAGAGTGCATGGAATGTCGATGAGGCAAACTACCGCATGACGTTGCTCTTCAAGATCATGTTCCACTGTGCCCGGTATGGACGTCGCGTTCGTGAACAAGTCTTGGCATTTGGTATCAACAAGGACATTGAGCGCACCAGCCTGACGTGCATTGACAACAAAGTCGATGCGGACACGAACATTCCTGATGAAGGTCTACTGCTCTACCCTGTGGCGGTCCGTGCTCCTACGGGGCACAAAGAAGGATCTTCAAGGGACGACGTCTCATTGCTGTCCTCATTACTTTCACATCCAATCGCGCCCAACACCATTTTGTCGTTACCGGTTTGTTTCCACATCACCAAGAAGACCAACCTTCGAAGCATTTGGAGGCAGGGATTAATTCCAGGAGGTCTTGGAGAAGGTCATCGGATGTTCACGTTCTTCAACCCGTATGTGCCATGGGATCACAGATCATGGACCATCACGAAGAGCGTTGATACGCGAAAGGGGGACTACATTTGCTTGTTCATCCCGACCGAGACCTTGATGGTGGAATATGGCGGTCGACTGACTGACTCGGGACAGATCGTCTCACCAAAGATCATCCCGTTCTCGGCAATCAAAGGAGGATGGATTCAGGACCCAAAGGACCAAAACAATAAGACATGGCTCCGGTTGTTCGTCCCGTCGGGCGACGACCAGGTAGTCCGGTCTGGAACTATCAAATCAAGAACGGTAGCCACCAAGGAGTCCATCTTGAGGGTTGCAAGTCAGTGCATCGACGCCGAAGATCAACCGTTTGACGAAACCGCCATGGATGCCATGAACATCGTCAACCAATTCAAGAACGACCTCATCAAGCCTGGCGGACAAGAACAATACCTGGCCCGCATCAAGCTGATTGACTACATAGTCGAACGCAAAAGGGTGCAAACATCAGGTTGCCGCCATTGTCCTCACTGTCTCAATGAGACGCCGACAAAACTAGCAGTGTGTCTAGTTTGCTGGACGGAACTTGAAAGTTGTGGAATCCGTCCCTATCGGCTACAAGCTCCTGAAGACGATGAAGATGAGGCCACGAAGAAAGAGATCGATGAAGAAGTTCGTCGACAAGAAGAATCGTTGTTCAAGGATACGGTCCATCAAGCACAAGAAAACGTATCCGAATCCAACGACTATGGCTTCAATCCTGACGAGGTCGACTACAACGAAGGCGATGATGAGGAAATGGATCAGGAGGAGGAAGCCCAACAGGAAGACGACGAAATCGTTGAAGAAGACGACGATGAAATGGAAGTCGAACCTGAAGATGAATCCTCTTCCAAACTTCCAGCATGGACCAAGAACCTCGAGAGCGGCAGCAAGGGTATGCCAGAAGACGGACTTATCAACAATGATGTCTCCGAGGCCGCGGCTCACTTGTATGACAATGCCGTCATGTCAAAGATCATCACAATGTTCAGGCTCTACTACAAACAGAGAGTCACTCTGACCCCAGAGGAGTACTATGAGATGATGACGGAAACCAAGCGAGTCCGGCTGGACCTGGACGACTTCTGTCCTTATACAGGAGAAGACCAGGATGGCAACCTCAAGCGACCGACGGAGCTGGAATTGGATGAACTCTTTCAGCAGAAAGGGAAGAGGAATTCATGGTCAGAAGGAGAGAAGTTATACTCAGGGCGACCAAGAAACATGATGATGCCTGTCATCAAGACTTTAGAGATCTATGAGAAGATGATGGAATTTCTGGTACGCGCTGGGTACACTCCTGAGTCATTAGGCTTTCTCATGCCAATGAACCGAATGCAGGCTGATGCCCAAGGGAAACAGGAGATGCGAGTAACCATCAGCAACTTCCTTCGACGACTGCTCAAAGGAACCTTTCCGGAGCACGAGTCATACACCTTCTTTCGCTCCGGGAGCCACGGCTTCCCCAACTGCATCGAACTCCCAGCTTTCTCGGTATATCTGAGCCTGAGGGAGAAAGAACAGAGAGTAGAACTGCTCTTTGCCGCCCAACAATGTGGCATTCCTTTACCTCAAAACTTTGTCAGCAAGATGGCTTATGCTATTCAGCTGGCCGAGGCCGAGGCGCAGAGGGGAAAGACCGAGATGAAAACGAAGATGGCTCCAACCCTTGGCGACGAAGTGGTGAGTGAAGTATTCAAAGCGGTTGGACATACTGCAGCTTCCAAGTTTGCTAAACCACCTGCACAACCTTCACAGACACCTGAAGGCACTGGTTCAGCATCATCCTCATCGGCTAGTGCACCAAAGGGCAAGGCTATGCCGAAATCCCATGAACCATCAAAGGCACCGCCTGCAAAGCCTTCATCGCCGAAAGCTGCTCCGAAACGTGCGGCAGGATGGGAGAGAACTCCAACAGCACCTCAATGGAAGAAAGTCCGCCGTGAGCAGTAAACCAATTGCTTCGATCCGTCAAAATGATCACTGGGCTACAAGATGTTTACCGTCTTTATGAACAGATGATCAGGAAAAGACCAACTGAGTGGACACTGAGCGAGGCATTAGACTAATTCGCTTAGGTTCAAGACTTTTGATATTCCCAATCTGCACGAGATTCTGCATTGTGCACGTGAATTCGTTAGTTAGCATTGTAAATCTTTGGTAGCGAGGCGATCCATTTCTCCCGACGGGTGAGTGGCATGCTTAGCCAACGTAGAAAAGTAGATGTTAGCTAGCAATAATTCGCGTTGTACAGCTTGATGAAGCGTCGATGCATCGACAGCCAAGGAGTAGGCGAACCCTGAACCATTATTCCCGACGGGTATGTGGGGAAGGGGGAGCCGAATGGCATGTTTTATGTACATAGGCGTAATTCGAGTAGCAGAAGAATCTAATTCAAAGTTCCCACTCTCGTGCCTATGGTTCGAAGATGCCATAGGCATGGGGGGTGCGAAGGGGAACGAGGTAACAATGTCGCTGCACATGATGAACATGTGTACAGTCGTGCATGGACCGCCAATGATATTGGCTCAAGTCCTGCGCGAGGAAAATAAGAACGCTGTCCGCATGCCATGCACTGAGATTGCCCGGCGCTATCAGCATTACTGGTACTACAGACAAAAGGGATAATCCAGAACAAGGATCAATTTGTTCACAATATTTATATTTATTTATTTATATATATATATATGTATATGTGTATATGTGTGTATATATATATTAAAGACACCCCAATCGAAACACTGATTTAGTATTGGATCGATTCATTCTGGGCCCACATTATATAATGTGTATCTAATTGGCTGTATGAGCAGCATTTCAGGATGGTGAACCCATGTTAAACCATGTTATATCATGTTAAACCGTGTTAAATCATGTTAAACCGTGTTAAACCATGTTAAACCCGTGTTAAACCATGTTAAACCATGTGATATAAACCACGGGGAACCATCTTAAAATATCTTCAGCCCAGCATTTTGATGCTCCAAAAAGCCAGCGGCAGGGTGGGATCCCAAGGTACGCGCTCCACGTGGCCCGGCCCGGCCTCGAGAAGGATATCGACCCGCCGGAGACGCTGCGAAGTTTGCCGCCGGAGAAGGAGCTGCCGCACCAGGCGGTGCCTTCGATTGAGGAAGGTACGGATGCCATGGGGATGTAATGGGGATATCATGATAATACATATTAAATACATATTAAATACATATTAAATACATATTAAATACATATTAAATACATATTAAATACATCTTAAATACATATTAAATACATATTAAATACATATTAAATACATATTATATATATATTATATATATATAAGTATCTAATAGTTGACAATGTAATAATGTATATATATATACACTGTATATATAATATACACATATAGTTCATGATGGTTAATAGTGGTGCTTAAACTGATTTGCTGAAGACGACTTGTTGTAACCACTACTTGAGAATCGATAGGACATATTCTGAAATGGTTTGGGGTTCCTTAAGCAAATCAAGGTGTAGGTATGTCATGAATTATGATGATCATATTAACGTCTTACAATATCTTCCCATGATATGATTTTATACTATAAAGGTATTAATAGTGTATATGTTTGCGTTTGCTATTTGGATTAGGCATTGGCTCCAGGTTCAACAGATTTAGAGGAAAATCATGGATTTGGATGGTAAGTTCTAGTGGGATCCTGCAGTAAATTCTAGTGGTAAAATCTTCCTCAAACTTATCCATTGAGGGATGTATGATCTCGAACATGTACAAAGACCTGCAGCTCCAAATTTCGCAGTGACATGGTCTATCCATATTGCTGCCGTTTACAATATGGACATCACTAAAATCATCTAAACCTTGTGCTTCCCCTGCCCCAAGTCCTTGAGTTTTGGTCGTTCGGCTGGGCCCAAACGAGGTCGTTGGTCGGGAAGGGGCCACCGAGGTCGTGGGTTTGCTTTGCCTCCAACGTGAGCGGGTGAGTGTTTTTCAGCAGAAAGGCCACTGGAAGGGACCACTTCAGAAGTACAGGATCACCAAGACCATGCCTCTGAAAGCCACTGGTCTGGGTCCACATGAGTCCTGGATGATTTTTTTGGGTACAATACCTTTTTAATATGTTTTAAAGGGCTGATGGACCACTGTCAACGCTTTTCTTAACGACTTCCTAAACTCTTGCGGCAAGTGCGGGTCTTCCCTTTGCAGCATGGGTCACCTTCAGCGGGTCTTCACCAACCCTGTGAACGAATTGGTGGATCCACAGAATGTTTGGGATGATGGGACTCTGACTAGGATCTGCTGGCCATTCCAGCCACGATGGATCCAGAGTATTTCCCAGAATGTTCTCTGAACTCTGAAAACGGATGAACATGGCAAGTGCGGAACTAGATGACTTACCGATTTTCAACACGGTGGATTTCCTTGCTGAGTTCATGCAAACTCAGCGCCACCATTCAGAAACCCTTATGGATCAGGTTCTTTTATATCTACCAGCTGGTTATTTAACATAGCCATGGAAAATCACCATTTTTAATAGGTGAACCATCTATAAATGGACCATTTTCCATGGCTATGTTAAATAACCAGATGGTATGCCAAAAAAGCTCATGTATCATCATGTATCTCATTAAGTCTCTAGCGGGAAGAGCATCCCAGCCCAGCTGCTGCTCTCAACCAGAGCCATGGATGCCCTTTCCCCCCTAAGGCCAGGGGATGACAATCATTATCTCATCATAAAATCATGACTGATCAACTTGCATTGCAAAAAACAAAGGTTCAAAGATTATCACCGCAGAAAAATGGTATGAAAGCAAATTTTGGGCAAACTGGAGCCCCACAAAAAATATCACCACAGAATCACCACATATCCCCAACCCCAGGGCTGCGCCCCCAGTGCCGTCCCAAGGACCCGTGCCCCACGCGCTCCCCGGGTCTCCCAGACTGCCCCTGGCGCCTCACCGTGCGGAAGAAGGTGCTGGAGCTGGCGCATGACATGCGAGTGCTGGAGCCACCTGGGCGGAGCAACACATTGGGGGAAGATTTGGAGCGCAAGACTTAAATGGCTAGGAGGGTGGTATTTAACTATAGTAAACTATCAAAATCTATCAAAACTAGTGGTATTTCATTTGACAAATTCTTATTTAACTAGTAAACATATGTAAAAGTGGTGAACGGAGGGAGCGATTTGGAGCGGTATGAACATATTCCCTATTAAATGGGGAGCGATTTGGAGCTACCAGGAGTTTCCCAACCACATACTAGTAAACATACTGTGGATCACCGTATGTAAAAATGGGGGTGAACGGTGAACGTGGGGATAAAATCAGCGGTCACATATGGGGATTTAGACATGGGATTTAGCGATTTCCCAGCAGTTTTTTAAAAAAGTGGCAGGGATACAGTTGGTTTTGTATGCTACATAGATGGATGTAGGGAACAGGTTATAGTTATGATTGATTGTTTCATATCTTGATCTCTGCCCCTTGTGAAACAAAATCAACATGCACACACCAAAAACATCCCAAAACCCTGGCAGTAATTTTGGGCTCCAATTTAGGATGCTTTTCTTTGGGGAAATGGGATTCAACACCTAGACAGAATTGGCGAACGAAACTGGAGAAAGACTGGGAATGTCAAGCAGACCTTAACCATGGATGGAAAAGGACCCATGGTGACCCGGACATGTTCTACTTAATTAAGGTTACTCGACATATCAGCAGATATGTCTTGTCATCTGATAGATTGGATGGTCCCAAGATGTCATGGGGCCTGGAAAGCGGTCCATGGCCGCCTGAGGAATGTTCACGAGGAGCCGGAGCTCTTGGAGCCCCCGGAGCCCGAAACGCGCAAAACTTGGGACAGCACTTGGACGGAGCCTCAATGGTGGCTTTGGCTATCAAGCTTTTGGATCAGGCACCATGAACGCACAGATTCAGGTCGACTTGGAGCTGGTGGAATGGATGGGATGATTGGTCAGGCGGGCCCTTGGTCAAATTCTGGCTGTGCTTGGTCAACTAAAAATGCATAAACTTCGCTCGCCGATAGCAATCAGTGGTAAACAATGTACATCCAAATTCATCATGTGTTTTTTTTCCCATCATGCAATTTTAATCTATTTGAATGTATCAAATCCAAGAAATTTCCATAGCATTTTCTCAGCTTTCCACCAGCAATGTATGGTGGGTGTATGGTGCCACCAGGTGCCCCTCGCTGGAACTGGCACTGGAAGGATTCCTGGAACTGGGAGGAGATGGGTTTAGGGGATGGGTTTAGTCAGAGGGAACCAGTGAACCGCAGATGACTTGGTCATGACTTTTGGATGTTTTTTGGATGGAAAAATGGCTCAAAACTTCCGGACTTTGATGACTTTTTGGATGTTTTTGGCTCAACCAAACTACAGATCATCGCCGCACCGTTGGATCTGTGGCTCAGAGTAGAAGCCGCCAGCTCATCCCCTTGGTTTTGAAGGCAGGGTCATCGGTTTCCAACCCATCGGGTTCCATGTTGACTGGAAAGCCAAGGAAAGACTCAACTGCAATGAACATCCCTTGAAAAACAAGTTGAACAACTTCAAAATACGATAAAAAAACAGTTTAGGAATCACCGCAGGTTTTTCAACATGCTTTTCTGTGGGAGTGTTAAGGGTGCTGCTTCACTTTTCAGACGACCCGATCACTGCGGGTTGTCCCAGGAATTTTGGATGCGTGTTACTGAGCTTTTGGGAATACACTGGGAACCCGCTCTCGAAACTACACCTGCAATCCAAAAAGCGCGGTTTATTTATCTCCAAGAAATCTTCGATTGACTAGGTCCAAAGTTTATTTCTGATTGATCTTGGACACCTATCCAACTGACGAAATCATTTGCTTCGGCAGATTGAGGTCATTGGGGTCCCAAAGTTTCCCCGAGCACCAAGTGATACCAGGGTCATTTGCTGACAATTTCAATCCAAGGCATGTTCCGTTTTTCTGGTTTGAAACGTGTGCTATCTTTTGGGTATCTTCATTCTCTGGGTGACATCCCGTCTTGGCTGTTGTCTTCCCAAATTTTGATTGCTCAACTGAATCCATTGTTTAGGTTGGTTCTTGCTGGTTAAATCTCCATTTTGTGGCTTGAATTCACCCAAATTTACTTAAAACCTGACTCTCGCTGCCAATCTTCCCATTTTCAACGTGGACTAAACCTTAAAGAACCTCCCTACAGCACCGTTGAAGAGCTGCTTCCTGCCATCGTCCAGGCGTTTCAGAAGCCATGCCTCGTCAAGGTGTGCTCAGTCGTGGCCTGGTGCTGCTCAGCGGCGTGGCATTGTTGAGGCGGTCCAGCGGTGAGCTGGAAGTTCCGGGGGATCCGGTGAGTTTCCTTAGTTCAAGATATTCTGATTGGATCTGATTGGTAGTTTGGAACATGAATTTTATTTTCCATAATATATGATAAAAAATCATTGGTACTGGTAGTTTGGAACATGAATTTGATTTTCCATTTCATATATGGATATATATGGGATGTCATCCTTCCCATTGATATTTTTCAGAAGGGTTGTGACATATCGGGTTCGTGGTTTGGAACATGAATGGATTATGACTTTCCATTCAGTTGGGAATTTCATCATCCCAACTGACGAACTCCATCATTTTTCGGAGGGGTAGGTATACCACCAACGAGTATTCCATTTTTTCCAAGTGATGATCTTCATTGATCTTCATTAAACTTCCATTTTTTTTCGAGGAAAGTCGTGAAATAATGTGAAACAATTGCGTCATGTCCATGCTCCAAGGCATCTTCCGTAAAATTTGTCTGGACTCAGTTGCGTGACTCGTGGCTCAGAATATTTTGGGGATATGACGAGGTATTCCAATGAATGGAGACTTAGACTCTTCGCCACCCAAACTCATTTGTAAGAAATGTGGAGAGATAATATCAGGTATGAGTCAAAGTGTGCACAGGTGTATATACATGTAAGATATTGTACAGTAATATGTTTATTATATGATATGTGTATATGTGTATCATATCATATGTACATAGAGACACGACATCCATCTCGTACCAATCACCACACCAATCACCAGGTCGTTCTTTGGCTCGGAAACCTTCGCTGGTCAAGGTCGTGGCACCACAGGTGCGGAATTCGCAGAAATTCCAAGTGTTTTTTTTCTCCAAAGATATGGGGGAATTCAATGGACATTGGAAGTTCTATGGTTTAATTCTGTTTATTCATGTTAAATATGTTTTGAGCATAGTTAGTTTTGATACGCATTGTTTAGACGTGTTGAAACGAAGCATATGGATCCAGGGTTGTAGCCTGACGCTTAAGCAGATGGAAATCATTGCAGAGAGGGCGCCCAAGCTGGGTGAAGCCTGTGTTGATGATGTTCTCATAGAACATGGTGATTATAGTGATTATTGATTCAGCCCATGAATCATGTTTCAAAACTTTTGTGAATGTGTATAAGAATAACATAGAATAACATCATTCACAGTGTTGGATCCGATCCACTAGTGAAAATCCAAACGGGTGTTCGTTGAATCTCATGGTTTGGCTGAACCACCATAGTTTCAATGCTTCAAACATGTCATCAAAACTTCTTAGTTGAATCCAAACATCAGAGCATACTAGTATCAGATAACCTGGGTTTGTTTAAGGTGATTGTTTATCTTCCCAATGGAAAATCCACCATGACTGGGGAATCTATAGTGAACATTTTTTTGTTTTTTGGGGAGCCCAAAAAAGCAAATCCAAGATAATCATAAATCAATGGGAATTTCAGGATCCGATTGAGGACGGAGGTTTGGCCTATTCTTAAGGCCTAAATTTCAGGGATCCCAAGAAAATATGGTCAGATCTTCAGGAGCCCAGTGCCGCATCACCGTTCTGCGCCACGCAAGGGACCCCAAAACGGGACCCGACAGGTGGCGCCGGCGCGGCGCCAGGGGGGTTGGTGCCGTGGATGGAATTTTCGCAAATTTGGGATGAACCATTCTCCATTTAGAGATCATATTCCAGGATTTTCGCATGAAATCCCTCCATTTTTTGGATGTTCAATTTACACGTTTGATTGACGGAGGGCAAGTCAATCTGTTGCTTAGGAATTTGGAACATGCAACTTCTCATCATAACTGTAACTTGTTGAGCCTCCGGTAGTCGAACGTGGCTTGTTGGAAAATCCAGCATTTAGTTCGATGTTGGGTTTTGCCACCTCCACTACCCTCCATTTGCGGGGGATTTCCATACTTGCTACGTTTTGATGACACCAGACATTAGACATCCTCCATCCACGAATCCTGGAATCATGTTTAGTAAGGGGAATCATCCCCAAATAGCTGAACTATTCAGGTTAGTGACATATTATCTGGTGGTTTGGAACATTTTTTTTCCACATATCGGGAATTTCATCATCCCAACTGACTTTCACTCCATCATTTTTCACAGGGGTAGGCTCAACCAGCAGTTATGATTTACCCAGACCGGATTTCCGCCAGCATTTTGGCACCGAGGCTGCAGAGGGCGATTCTCTGCCTTCCATTGAGGTGGATGAGGGCAAGTGAAGGGCTCAGATCCAGGGACTTCGATGGGCAGATGGGGAGATCACTGAGCCGAGCTGGGAAGAACCCCCTGGGGCTTCGCGCTGAACTTCATGTGGTTTCTGACACCAATAACCCATAGCCATAGCTAGACGCCTGACAAATAGCCAATCTGCTGAAATACGTGGAAGCGTCGAAAAACATCGAAAAACGATTTGGTGACAATAGCGTGGGAAGTGAAGAGTTTCACCGTGGTGGTAGAATCAGCTGGATTTTGTATCAACATGTTTCTTGTCAAAGAACCCTGCACACGAAATGGGTGTTGAACTTGCGAACCCAGAACATCCGCAAAAATGTCCGCCATTTCGTCGGCACAAATCCTCAATGGATTGGTTTTTCCGGGAAAATCTACACCGGAAACCATCGATTTTCCCATGAAATATGGGGCTTTCCTGTAAATTTTCCCGGAAAAACCAAGCCATTGAAATCCATTTCTTTCTTTTCCTCGAACTATGCCCTGAAATTTCCAGCTGGTGATCCCAAATCTTCGCCTCCCGGGATCTTTTTTGGACGGTTCCGTCCACCTTTTTGCGAATGGCGGTATCCAGCCGCCAGGAGCGGCCCTTTGTCAGGTTATTTGAATGGTTTATTTCGGTTCAAGATGGTTTAAAATAAATAAACCCATCAGAAATAATTCAATTTATCCTATAGTTTAAGATCTATGGTTTATTTCTCATGGTTTTAAGACTTGTTGAATGTTTTTAAGCATCAGAATCCATCGGAGTCGTCCCACTTCATAAGTCAGCTGGAGTGTGTTTGAGTTGATCACTATCTTTGTGTGTTGGTTGGCGGTCAAAACATGTGGTTAACAAAAGACTTTTCTCTATCTTCATTTGGGATGCTATTTTCTACATTTCGGATGATTATATCATATGACGCGATTCATGTCGGCAATCCAATAATAAACCTACCCATTTATGGTGTTTTTGGGGGATGACTTAGTTTTGGGTTTATATATATATATTATGTTACTATTGGATGATCCCAATTGACTGTGCAACTTCTATCTTCCAGCGCCTTGCCGCGCCTTCCCCATCCAGGCCCGGCGAGGTCGTGAACGTGGCAGAACTCTTCAAAGGCTCCGTTGGAATCTAATGGGGATGTAGGCAGGGAGCTCACAAAAAGTTAGGGGCTGGGAGCTAAGGGGGCGACCACTCGCTTGTACACCCACTATTTCCCTCGCTTGTACACCCATAAGATCATGATCATGATCATGATCATGATCATCATCATCATCATCATCATCATCATCATCATCATCATCATCATTGTGTGTGTACACAGGAACATGAACGTTATTGTCCCACCCCACCCCACCCCACCCCACCGGTATTTGATCATGAAAGAGCAGTGCCTGTGCCTGCAGGACAGCAAGAAAGATGATGAGGTTGCGGTGCCTATGTGTGCACAGGAACGTGAGCGTTATGGTCCCACCCCACCCTGCTGGAAATACCATAAAATAAAGCCTGGATTCGCTGAGTTGATGATCCCAGTGGGAAATCCATCACATTGGGAAAACATAAATTATATTTTTGGGTGGTTCTTGAAACAAATCCAAGATTACAGTTGAATCACAACTTTTGGTTAGAGCTTAGTAAATGTATGTAAAGATCATGTTCCGGTGATGATAAGAAGACCCTTTAGTTTATGAAGTCAGCCCCCAGTTTTGCTGCCATTTTTTAATGGTCAAACCTTACATGTTTCTTTTTTTTCCATCCCTCTTCCTTGGACGCTGGAGGGACAGATGCCATAGGCCTGGTTCTCAGTGTCCACTTGATATGGTTGTCAAGGATCGTGTGATGTCATCTCTTCTGAACGCAAGGTGCAGTGAAAGCATGTTTTTTTCGTAATATACTTCATTATCAAAGGTGCTGTGAAGCATCATCTATCATTGATTCGCTTGAAATATTGCTTTGTCGAGGGATCTCAAAAAAGATGCAGTGTAGAGTATAGTATGGCACTACAGAATATAACATGGTCGACACAAAATGTAAGCTAGGGTATCGGTAGGTGTCGAACTCCTTGCTAAACATGAGATCTTGGTAAAGCTTGAGGTGCTGTTTGGAAGTGGGAATGTCTCCCTGTCTCAGGTGAACCCTTGAAAACAGCCCTTCTTCAGCCTTGGAAGGAAACTTGTATTTTGAAGTCCTTTTTGGAGAACAGTTTTCATTTTATTTCATCTTGTGAGTGTGCGCTGTTGGAGTGTCACATTGCAACACAATTCAACTTAAACACCCCAGCGCTTGTGAATTGATGTTTCCATTGGTGTGGATTGGCTCTTCACTATCTAATCATCAAGCATCTTCTATATACTGTAAGCTGTTCTGAAGGTCATTTTGCCAACGCAGGAGCAGCTTCATCAGGTGCGAGTGGGGCAGCTTTTAGCTATTATATATATATATAAATATATATATATATATTTATTGTATATATATATAATACATATAGTGGATGTAGAAGGATGTCGGACATATAAAGTTGCTGTAATATTTGCATTCTGTTGCACTGGATGTTTCAAAATCCTCTGCTTATATACTTTTTGACACTTGTATCCACATAGACTCAGTGCCACATAGTAGACCATGTATGATAATATGCAGTAGATATAGAATATCATAGTAGGAAAGTAGGCAACGCATTGCCAAGCACTTGCATTGCTCTGTATACTCTCGTGCAACTGGTTCAAGGAAAAAAACAACGACACCGCTCTCAAATCGTGTGGCGTTTGTGGGAGGAGATGAAGAAGGACGGTGTCTCGTTGGAGTCAACAAGTGTAGATGATTTGTCAAAGGATGCATTTGCTTCTGACATGCAAACGTCAGACACTGAAGACAGTGTCAAAGGCACTACCTGATTTGGAACCAGCAAGAGGACAAACACCCGTTCGGAAGCTTGCCGCGGCAAGGGCAGAAAGGCTTCAAGATTCTTCAGGTCCATGGTATACCAAGGCAAAATGATTGCCGCCGAAGTGGACAAACTGAACCCTGAAGAAAGGAAGCGCCTGTACAAGGAGATGCGCCTGTACAAGGCCAAATCATCACAATTGACGACGGAGATCATGCGGCAGCATCATGCCGGACAGGCTGAACAGTTCAGAGGAGATGGCACCAACCTCTCTTAGAAGAAATGCTTCGAGAAGGTGTTTGGCCAGATAAAGACGTTGAAGCAGTAGAGCCAACCACTGAAGAAAAGAGAAGCATCCACAGCCGAATTTTGAAGGATGGCATGTGTGACACATGCCATCCTTCAAAATTCGGCTGTGGATGCTTCTCTTTTCTTCAGTGGTTGGCTCTACTGCTTCAACGTCTTGATCCGGCCAAACACCTAATGTCCAGTGCGCACCAATGGGTGCTCAAGGAAGAGTGCCAGCTGGACCGGCTGTTTGGCCCGCCGGCTGGGTTTGGCCTGCGGCGATGGGGTTCCGGTTGCAAAGAAAGGGCCTCATGGAATACTTTGGTGATGCTGTCTTCGAGCTGCCCAAGGTGCTGATGGAGAAATTTAGGGCTGGCCGCTGTGCATTCTTGAAGCGTCTTGGGTTTGTTTAATTCGATTTTTGTTTTTATTTCTGTGCCCAATGGGGAGAATCCATCATCTGGGGATTCCATAGTATAGGTTTTTGTTGGTCTTTTTATTTTTGAGCCCCTTTAGCAAATCCAAGGCGTGGACGCAGCAAAAATGCCAAAAGACATGTGATAACCAACGAGTCCATCACAGGGTTTCACTTTGCCGCTGTCAAGTACGATGCAAGCAGCGGCAAGTACGGGAATTCCACATACGACCCGACAATGCTGCGTCTTTACCACGAAATTCCCGATGACGGCCCACTCCCTGACCCAAATGCAAGTGGGAGTGGGAGTGGGGAGAATGCTAATCACATCACATGGTGGCCTATTATCATCTTGCAATTGCATGATGATTCAGTTCAAGTGGCTCGGGAAGTGACACCTGGACATGTTTATGTCATTATTTGCTTTTACCAGGTTGTCACGAACCCAATTTGGGCCTGGACAGTGGAAATCGTAGAGACGTGATTTCCAGTCATCCGCTGTCCATGGCAAAGGGTGCATGCAAATCAGTGTTTGGACACATTTGAAATGCTTCCTGTCTAACATATTGTGTAAAATATGTGTTCGTAATTATATACATCTTGGCTCTAGAATCGTGTCAGATAATAAACAAATACCATGTTAGTGTATGTATATCTATATCTATATATAATTATATATATATGTATATGTTAGTATATATATATATATATATCATGATCAATTAACGCAACATGTATATATGATTATATATGTAAATGTATATGTTGCTATGCTATTTACTGTGGTTGATATAATTCACTAGATTTTCTTGTTTGGGCAATGCACCTCAGCTGGTACCCTGACTCTGTAGCGTTGTGGCGTTTGCGCCGGGCCTATGGATGATGGGGAAGGCATGTGAGCCAGGGATGCCAGGGAAAATGGTGGCTGGGCCCAATCCAATCGGCAATGTTGTTGGCCCTGCAAAGCAGAAGAAGTGACAAATTCCCAGTGTCATGTTCAATCATGTTGCTTTGATCATAGATTTCCTGACCTTTGTACAAGTCGCGAATGATTTTGTATGATTTTGTATGTAGCTTGCACAAATCCAAAATGTGTTTGGTTTTTGGCTTTTGGCTTCACATCTTTTATAACCTGATTGTTGTGTTGTGGCGCTCACGCCGGGCCAACGTCAGTGCGCACGCAGTGAGTGAGTGATTCCAATTATTTGCATGGACAATGATGCACGACGGTACTCGTCTACAATTCATATGCATCTCATAGAATATTATATATAGATTGGGCATGTTGTGATGAAACAATTTATGTAATTGTATATTCAATGTCGTTCAATCATTTGAACTATTTCGCAACATTCAGCTTCCAGACTACTTCGCAGCATTCAGCTTCCAAACATAGACAAATTTACTTGCAGGAAGCTTTTGTCTCTTGTCTTCATACTTTGTATGTAGTCATGAATCAAATTATATTGGAATTGTGCATCCGTCAGCTAGTAGATTAGTAGATTTTTCAAATACAGCTGGCTGGACTGCAGTTGTGTATCCAACCAATGCAACAGCATGCCCCAGACCAATGATGCGCAGATGTAGTGCACAGCACGGCAAGCTTCAAAAGTCGTGGCCGCTTCCGTGGCATCAAGGCATTTCTGTCGCTTGAGTGTGTATGTCCAACTTGACACATGTATCCAGGCCTTTTTCCTGTGCAGCAGGCCTGGGTGCTGGAGGAACAGATGCCATAGGCCTGGTTCTAAGGGGCGACCGCTCGCTTGTACACCCCGAATCTCACTCGCTTGTACACCCACTATTTCCCTCGCTTGTACACCCATAAGATCATGATCATGATCATGGGGATCATCACCATCATCACCACCATCATCATCATCAACATCATCATCATCATCATCACCGGTATTTGATCATGAAAGAGCAGTGCCTGTGTCTGCAGGACAGCAAGAAAGATGATGAGGTTGCGGTGCCTGTGTGTGCACAGGAACATGAGCGTTATGGTCCCACCCCACCCCGCCCCACCCCACCGGTAACTGATCATGAAAGAGCAGTGCCTGTGTCTGTACGAGAGCAGGAAAGATGATGAGGTTGCGGTGCCTGTGTGTGCACAGGAACATGAGCGTTATGGTCCCACCCCACCCCACCGCACCCCACAGCCAACAATGATGAAAGTGCAGTGGTTTTTTCCAGAATGAGAGATGATGAGGGTGCGCAAGTGAGTGACATTTTGCTCACTGGGTGCGCAAGTGAGTGAAATTTCGGGTGCGCAAGTGAGGGTCTGGCCGGAGCTAAGGTGTGTTTTAAGGTTTGATCGTTTGACCTCATATTATTCGCCGACAAGACAGTCGTTGCTGGTGAAGTGAACCCCCTCCCGGTGTTTTTTCATTGCAAGGCCACATGGTGATCTAAAGGTCTTTGTAAAGAAGTATGATCGCGAAGAGAATTCATGTGATGTTTGATGAAAGAATTTGGATCAACCACATTCAACCACTGCATGTTCTCTGCAGGCAAGAAGGGAGTCCTCTTCGCAGTGCCAGGAGCCTTCACGTCTGCCTGGCACAGTGTTGGAAGAGGGGATATGACATGAAACATGGGGTTGTCCAAAAATAGGTTGTGCCTAAAATATAAAATCCATTGAAATCCAGTGGTTCCCTCTTTCCCCCTTTTTTGGACAAACCCATGTGCTAAGGTAGTGATATTCCCAAGAAAGCGGGACTTCTATGCCCGAAAACAGGGTTGGAATCCCAGTCATAGTGGTGGGACAACCAAAAATGGGGTGTTTAATGGGGTGTTTAATGGGGTGCTTGTAGTGAAGAGGAATCTAGAAGGGATGAATTGAGCTTTAACAAGACCACAATTTTTTTTTCCGTTCAGCTAATCCAAAAAAAAGGATTCGGGGTCTCTTCTACCCAAATTGGCTTGGAAATCCCATTCCCTTCATTCCATTGATACCAAAGGAATCAATTTCACCCTTCCAACATCTTCCAAGGAGTGAAATCCCGTGTCACATTGACATGTTCAAAAAATCACCGGCATTTCTAGCGTTGCCAGGCCCACTTGCTCCGAGAAGCACCTGCCCGGGACCTTACGGACCTTACGGACCTTACGACTTTCTGCATCCGCATTGCGCGCCCGTTTTGAGGAACCAGCTGGTGACTAGGGCCTATGTTCCTAACTGAAATATGTATAAATATGTCACGGAATACGAATCGTGGATCCAGCTTTAGGGATGAACACTAGTCCAAAACGTGGGACAGTCTCCGGAACCAATCGACAATTGCCTTCTCACTTTCCAGTTCATTTTTGAGAAGATGGTGAGACGGTTCTTCATTGACGATTGTTTCTGAGCTGGGGATGGATTGATAGCAGCAACACGATTACATATCAGAAGGGAAACTATAGAATCTGGGTAAATTATAACGACCTCACTGCGACATCACTGGAATCATGGTTAGTAAGGGGAATCATCCCCAAATGGCCTTAATTCAGGTCGTCAGCGGGGGGTGGGCAGGGACCGCAAGAAGTTGGTGGCCTTAATTCAGGTCAGTGAAATATTCTAATTTACCAGATAACGGATTTGAGCTGACCTACATTGTTGGACCCCAAAGAAACTACGGCAAAGTGTGGCCGTTCGAGCTGTCCATGTTCGGAGAATTTTTATGGTCTAAGACAAAAGATCGCTCAAACTTGGCATCATCATCTGAAAAGAAATCCAATTCCAAATCCCTCCAAAAACCCTCCAGGACTCCAGGATAAATTCAGCATGTCACATGTTTTTCCATCGGTTTTTCCCCATGTTTTTGTCCTATCCATTCCGCACGCGGAGGCCCGGCTACATCGAGAAAGCTGAGGATCTCAAAGCCGCTGGGGCCGAGGCGCCGTCTTTGGGATCATCCCAAGAGGACCAACTCATTGAGGTCATGTCATTTTTAGGTCATTTAAATGTTTTTTTTTGTTTTTGTGTGTGTTTTTTTTACCTGTTTTAACCATATTTTCATATGATAAATTTATTTAAATGTTTTTTTTTTGTTTTTGTGTGTTTTTTTAAACCTGTTTTAACCATATTTTCATATGATAAATTTATTTAAATGGGTGTTTTTTTTAAAATGTTTTTGTGTGTTTTTTTAAACCTGTTTTAACCATATTTTCATATGATAAATTTATTTAAATGGGTGTGTTTTTTTTTTTAAATGTTTTTGTGTGTTTTTTAAAACCTGTTTTAACCATATTTTCATATGATAAATTTATTTAAATGTTTTTTTTTTAATGTTTTTGTGTGTTTTTTTAAACCTGTTTTAACCATATTTTCATATGATAAATTTATTTAAATGGGTGTTTTTTTTTAAAATGTTTTTGTGTGTTTTTTTTAAACCTGTTTTAACCATATTTTCATATGATAAATTTATTTAAATTGGTGTTTTTTTTTTAATGTTTTTGTGTGTTTTTTTAAACCTGTTTTAACCATATTTTCATATGATAAATTTATTTAAATTGGTGTTTTTTTTAATGTTTTTGTGTGTTTTTTTAAACCTGTTTTAACCATATTTTCATATGATAAATTTATTTAAATGGGTGTTTTTTTAAATGTTTTTGTGTGTTTTTTTAAACCTGTTTTAACCATATTTTCATATGATAAATTAATTTAAATGGGTGTTTTTTTTTAAAATGTTTTTGTGTTTTTTTTTTTTTAACCTGTTTTAACCATATTTTCATATGATAAATGTATATAAATGTCATGGGGATTAAAATGTGAACTCCTGGTCAAGCTACTTGAACTTGGAGGCTTTTTAATATTGTTGGGTGCATTCCTATCAAACAGATTCCGTGACATAGCTTCATTATATCCCCATTCATGTTTGGTAAAATCCCCTGGTTAAGGATTATTATGGATCATTCAAATGGGGATAAAATGGTGATGGATTTTTATTTATTAAGAAGCATTTATATATGCATTTATGATATTTTATGATCAAGTATATCCCTATTATGGTCCGTGCTTCCCCCATCATCATTACCCTCTGGTAAACTAACAGTTTGCTATTGAACATGGCCATAGAAATAGTGGATTTTTCCATTACAAATGGTGATTTTCCATACTTATGTTAGTTTACCAGGGGGTGAATACTGTACACTGTTCATTTGGCTCCTGGGGCCCTGGGGTTGGGCAGGTCGTGGCCTGCGTGTCTGTGAACGATGCCTTCGTGATGAAAGCTTGGGGCCAGCAGCAGAAGGCGCTGAACGAGCGCTTTTTTTTGTGGTGTGTGAAGCCCCAAAGAAGCAGAAAATTCAAGGAATACAGCGGGTTTTGACCAAAAAAATGGGGATGTAGTATGTATGTGATGAATGGTCATATATGGTCATATCTGGTTGGTGGTTTCAAATGGCTTTTATTTTCCATTTCATATAGGATGTCATCCCAACCACATTGACGAACTCATATTTTTTAGAGGGGTAGGTCAACCCACCAAGCTGATATGGTTGGCTGGCGATTACCCTCTGGTCAAGAGCTCGGCTTGCTGGGAAAATGGTCCCTTTTGCAAAGTTCGGTGGTCTCCCCCATTGAAATGACCTGAGTAGCCTCTGGTCATTTAAGTTACCGTTTGCGAACTGGAACATGGCCATTGTTAAATAGTGGATTTACCCTCTGGTAAACTAACATAACTATGGAAAATCACCAGTTTTAATGGGAAAATAACCTATAAATTGCCATTTTCAATAGCTATGTTAGTTTACCAGAGGGTACCCAATAATAGCATGGTGGATTTTTCCAGTTCGTTTCATGTTAACGTTGACCAGAGGGTTTTTTGGGGGATTTCATTCCCATCGACAACTATTTGACAGGATGATTCGTTGTCAAACCATCAGTTGATGATGACATCCAGTGCTCAATGGGAACTGTGATAATTATTATCCCCTAGCAAAACGGGTGCGAGAGGGATTACGATGCAAGACAGTTTTATGGTGAAACTATGCGTCCAAGAGCTCACAAAACCAATCTCTTGGAAGCGACTTTTGACCGTTCCTTTTCGTAAAGATGGTCACAATCATGGTCTAACTGACCAAACGTCAACATACATACCGGTTCGTAGCATGCGTTGACCATATACCAACTGCGATACACTATAATTGCAACTACTGTCGGAATGTAAAGGCTGCAATCATATTATATAATACCCACCGGTTGGTTTGTCATGCATAAATAACAGGATAGCATTAACCAGTGGTATCACCAAGTATAGCCAGATTAGCCAGACTCTATGAACAATACATTCTGGCAGGTTGCTTTATCTTAGTTGGCAAACATCATACATAAAGCCATTCAAGAATTTTCTGTATGTTACTACATGTTACATCATGTTACATCATGTTACTACAACATACCCTCTGGTAAACGTTTACACAACTACGGAACATCACCATGCTATTAATCAATAAATCAACTATTTCTATGGCCATTTTCAATAGCTTTTTGTATGTTTACCAGGGGTATATCTATTAAATCACCATGAAATCCCATTAAATCACCATATCCATCCTAAATCCATCTAAATCCATTGACTTCGAATGTTGGACCTATTTGGCCATGGCCGCTCACCTCGCCACGTCACGGCATCCCTGCATTTTTGGGGCATCCTGAGGCCGAGGGCAAGGTCCGCATGCTGGCGGACGCCAAATGTGAGCTGACTAAGGCGGGTGAACCTTTCACCCACCATCCCCTACAAAGTGGGGCCCCCAGATAGCTAAGTTGGTTAATAACTCCAATAACTATGGTTTATGGTACTTATAACTATAGTTACTGGGGATTATAAACCAACTTATAACTGGGGGGCCCCACATTGTCATTGGGGATCTTTTCAATGGGCCCCCAGTCATCATGGGATCCAGGATTTTAGGGGATTTTCTGAATGAAAACAATGAAAGCATCCAGCTATTGCGATGACCAACAAAAATCATGTTCTACAGTAACCCCCCAAAAAGATGTGGTGAAATTGGTGTAAATCCGATGGTTATTGTCGTATTGTTGTCGAACTTCTTGGGGGTTACTATCGTTGATTCAATGATATATCATACCATCCCTTGAATCAATTTTAGGCTTAAGAGGCAAGTAAGATGAGTTCATATGATGTCCCAAAAGTTGGATAATCATATATATATACATTTATATTGAGCTGGAATATCATGCCCAAAATGCTGAACATGTTAAGTGAGACGTCACGCTCGAAATTCGGTGATTGCGATGAGATGGGAGTGGCTCTGGCTGGCTCTGGTGATCTCAGCGGAATCAGGTTTCTTGCGGGGTTGGCCGGTTGGTATCTACTTATGCTTAGGTTGTAGGGAATGAGGTAATGCTTGTTGCGGGTGGGGGAAACTGATTTTCTTGCAGCTGCTTTCTTATCAGTGATTTTTTGTATGTTCAGAAATCCATGCGAGAGATAGTATTGCAATGCAGGCTGATGACCACATTTAGGCTGTGACTTGTGGCGGTGCAGATGTGCATAATATTTCTAGGCAACTACTGTTAAACTGCTGCTCAATTTCTGGCCGCTGCTCAGCCGCTGCCACTGGCTACCAAACTGCTTCTGTTTTTCCCAGGCTTAGATTCCCTATATCCAGGAGCACTCACAGTGTACATGGAGACAAGTGCTTTGATAAGAATTGCTGTTATCCATGATAAGGACCTACCGGAGCGGTGACCCTTGTGACATAACTTCTGATAATTTAACATAGCTATGGAAAGTCAGACATTTAGTTCGATGATTTACCTATATATCTTCGATTTTCCATAGCAAACTGTTAAATTTATATAAAGTTATCAGAGCGTACCACACTGTTGAGCCATGCTCAAAACCTTGCTGTCTCCGTTTCGTTGAAAAATCTCCACATCTCTCAACCAATGTTCCATTTGATACTTGCCGAACTTATGAATAATTATGCTACTGTAGTTGTACATCGTAGAATTCTGTATGTATATATGTAGACACATACACGATCGACACTATCTGGTTGGTGGTTTTGAACATTTTGTATTTTCCATAATATTTGGGATAATCCTTCCCATTGACTTTAATATTTTTCAAGATGGTTAAAACCACCAACCAGTTATGCAATAGACGCATCCATCCCCCTTTGTTGTTGACGAGGCCTTAGACATGGAGCTGGATGCTTCTGCCAAGTTGGGCAACATCAGGCGGTACGATGACTGGTTGACAGCAGGAGATCTGAACTGACAAATATAGACTAAACACAACAAACATCACTTTATTAAAAGGATCTATACCAGGGGGTATGAGAAATGAGATTATACTCAGCAGAAAACGGGAACCAACATCTATAGCTTGACAAAGCAGTGGTTTGTTCGACACAGATTTGTGGACCAGGAAGTCTCATGGGCTGGTGAAATTGAGATGTCACCTCAACAACTGGGGATTTGTTCAGCAAAAAGAATCGGATAGCAACTATTATACGATATTATCCATCGCTAACACACGCACTGGTATGAAAGGACACCGTGCATGTGGTTTCGTTCAGCCCTGGGAGATAGCAAAACGGCAAAAGGTTCCTGAAGACCATCAGATCATCACACGAGAATCGGTGCAGTTCCCGCTATAAGTAACTAAGTAGATATATATTAGATATACAGTATAACTAACCATAGTTTTAAGATTAGTCATATCAAGCCATTTTTCCATGGCAATTGCCATGGTTATCTCCATTCACAGTCCCAACTGCCCGAAAATGCGACCGCAGGTCGGAGAGATATGCCATGATCATCGATGTGATGGCCCCGGTTACTGGTGGTTACTGGTGGTTCCCCCCAAAAAAAACCCTTTTATCGCGATGAAAGTAGGGAGGATTTGGTGAGTTGGTTGATAGTTGGTTGATTTAATGGGGTTTAATGGGAGTTACCCGGCCTGGTAAACGTTTACATTAAACAAACTGGAACGATCCACCATTTTCTAGCTGGGTAAATCAACGATTTCAATGGCCATTGAATCAATAGCAAACTGTAAACGTTTACCAGAGGGTATGTTAGTTGATGCTATAGTTGTTTTATCATACCCTAAAACTAGAATCACTAGAGTTATATCGCCCGAATCAACCCAAACCTGAAATTGGAGTTATGTTGAGCTAACGACCTGGTCCACCATACCCTGGCATTGGGGGATCGTAACGTAATAATTTCCCATAGAACATACAAGGTGGCCCTCCCAAGTTGTAAGTTGCTTAGAAAAGCCATGAACTTCCATTCACTATAGTTATAATATGTTACAAGATCTGTTAAACCCTGCATATCATTGCCATTTTAATCCATAAAACCATACTGAGCTTGGCCCGGGTTGGCCCCGGTCGGCCCCGAGGATGGGAAGATCACCAAGATTGCCACCGGGGAGGATTCGCAGCTTGGCGAAAAGACCGATGTTTGAAACACAAAATCCAAAAGTATTTAGCCTCTGGTAAATTAACTTGTTGACCCTGAGAATAGCCTAGTTTTAATATGTTTTAATGGAAATTAATCTTCCAACCCCGATGACTGCCAGGTTTTTTTTGTTAATTTACCAGAGGGTAGCATTGAAGGCATTCAAGCAGCAAACATATCGGAAGTCATGATTCATAAAAGGCGACTTGGACCTGACATGTCTAGGAAAACCTAACTTGAAACTGCCATCAAAACACACATATATATATATATACACATGTATATACTTGGACAAACCCATATAAGCTGCAATGGGCCCGCATTCATGCGGACTATGAGTAACCTTACGCATAACTTTACATCCTTGGGCCCCTACGAGAGATACCTGCATAAAAACGCGCATTTTTTTCCGTCAAACATGGGAAATGTAATCACCAAGAAACATGGGGATGTCAGCAACAAAACCTGGAGATTGCCACTTCTTGATAGCACCTCTCAGGTTTGCTCCAGAGATCTTGGCGGCCCTGAAGTAGGCAGGGATAGGGGTTGTCGGGAGTGCGGCTGTGCCAAAGTTTTGGACTTCCCAACTTTTGGCTGTGCCCAGAAGTTTTATATAGGATGAAATCCGAAAAATGCCCTGCCCACCACTTGGAAAGTCATCCTTCAGATCCATGTTTTTTTGGGGGTGCAATGCTACTTTTTCGAGGGGCTATTGATCACTTGGGACATCCGCATCATCTAGTGCTTGATCTTGTGTTGATCTCAGCAATTTGTCACAGCCCAAGGGTCATGTTTGCTACGGGACAAATGGGC